TAAGTCATATATGTTGCTTATCTGACTGTTGGTTGCAGCTCTTTTTGCATGTCTTGCTCTCAGCCAGCGCCCCTCTCCACATCTCCTCTTCCACCTCTTTAGCAGTTCCCTACCGCCTCAGTTTATTTCTTGTCTCTCTCCATCCTACATTCTTGGTAACACCATCACGCCTCATCCTTCTCCTCCCATTGTGTGTGTGTGTGTTTGTTGTCATTCTCCTCCCATTCACCCAACTCACCTGCAGCAACGCCTTGATGCTTCTTATTTTCACGTGACAATCAAGCCACCCCCACGGATAAAACTACACACACCAACACAAACACATAGTCCTATTAACACCATAGGTGACTCCCAAAGAAATGCTGCTGGGCAGATTATTGAGTGAGTGACAGCAGTTCATGGAAAAATAATGCAGGCCACACATAAACATACAAACTCTCACACAATCATATAGAATATAATACACACTCTTATGTTTAAGAAATGACTGTATTTCGGTATATGGTATATTAGATATACCTTATATAAATTTAGGGTTCTGCAGGAGAAAAACGCTTTTGTGATGTGTTCCGTGCTGATGATATTGACGCAGTCTGGAGGGCTGCCCTGCGGACTGCAATACTGGCAACCCATAGGGAGAAGAATTTAAAAAAAAATGATGTGACACACATACATCTATTCCCCATCTTGACCGCTCCACTGAGTTTGCTTCGTTTTTAATTCCTCCTCTGATTGTGGTTTCTTTATGCATCATCGGCTGCTTTTGCGTCCCTCTTGCACTGTCTGTGTGTGTGTGTGTGTATATATGTGTGCATGAGCGTATGAGCATGCACGTCACCCATAAACTAATATTGTTAAAGTATTCCCTAGGGCTCGAGAACACAGGAAGCCTGAATTAGCTATTGACTCTGTCCTCCTTGATTAGAAGAGTATAAAATCACTACTTTATTGATTCCTCTCTTTAACCTTTGCCTCATTTGATCTCTTAACATTGTTTTCTGTTCCTCTCTCCACTTTTTTCTCCAATTTCTGTCTTTTTGCCTCCCATTTCTTTCTATTCTAAATCTATACCCCTCATAGATTTATAGTTACAATAGTTACTGGGGTAACAAATTGTGTCTGGGTGACCTTGAAGTGACCTCTCTCTCTCTCTGTCTACTGTGAGTGAAACATGATTTGACTGACTTCATTTCTATTTCAGGTCCTCACACAGCAGTTCCCATGAGGGGTATATTTTCAGCCTCTTGACTCAGTAATTTTACCCGTGAAGCCTCGCGGTTTACAACTACGAGATGTGAATATGAGCGCAGTCTGGAAGTAAAGACTTTAAATGCACTGAAGCGATGAAAAAAAGCGTAAAAAAGACCTAATAGTCTGTAGTAATTATGTGTCACGTGAGTTAAATTACTTTACTACTGCTCCTCAGATGACTGGTAATGTTAAAAGCCTTTTTGATGGCTATTTGAATGATTATTAGTTCTCACCATTCGGCAGTAAAAGTCAATATTGCTCCTAAGAAGACACGTGACAAAATATAAAACATATTTTTCTGGCCCTGGCCCGCTCTTTACAATTTCTGTAGAAGTGGAGTATTTATATTTGTGGTGATGTTTACATACTGTGGGTGGAAAAGCAACTGAATGTAAGATGGCTTTCTGTGAGCTGCTTTCACATTTTTCACAACAGATGGCAATGAAGGGCACATCTGCAGGCACTTCTGCTGATTTACTTCTTATGGTGTGTGCGTGTACATGTGTATGCACATCTGAATGTGTGTTTTTTTGTGAATTTACGTCATCTTACAGAGATCTCTGCATTCAGGCCAACCTCAGGAGGGCGAGGGCAGGTGGAAACGGTGAGGAGGGCGACAGAATACCCGAGAGAGAGAGAGAGAGAGAGAAAGGGGGGGCAACGACTGAGTCAGACTGTGACGGATAAAGAAAGACAGTGAGGAAAAAAGTGTTATTAGCCAGTAAGCGAGGGAGATAGGGGGTCCAAGTAAAGGAGACAAGGGAGGCAGGAGGGGCAAGGGGTGTGAGGACAGCGGACCGAAACAGGCATAATACTCTTGGGGGTGAAAGGATGAGAAAGAAAGAGACAGTGACAGAGAGAGCGAAAGCTCTTGTGTCAGTCTGAAGAGGACATGTCTTCTGTCTGACCTTTTCAGATGAATTCACACCCCTCCACCCTCTCCCATCTTGGAACTCATCCAATTTTGAAAAAAAACTTGCTTCTGTGGCTCCCCCTAGCTTTTATTTTATGCTCTCCAGCTCTTTTTCTACACAAGCGTTGATGAACGGCTCTCCACTGGGAACTTGGTGCGGTAATTTAGCAATTATAAGTGTAATTTCTACTTTTTGCTATAAATCACTCTGGATTATACCCTCAGCTAATGCCCAAGATGTGAAAGTGTTTGTGACAGTTTGTCACAACCACTGAGCTGGAAGCTGAGGAGGTGGTGTAACTACTTCCTGTTAACAGTAATACAATTAAATATTGTAAAAAAAATCCCTCGATGATTTGTCTACTACATTTTGATTACTTCTATGTGCGTTTATATACTTTATGATTTCTCTGTGTATTCTGTACTCTCATTTTACAGGTGGGGCTACATTGGAGCATATCAGTTGAGTCCTAAACCCAAAATCCAGTCTTCCAAAAAACATGAAAATGTTGCATCTCTCAAATTTCCGAATCAAGGAAGACAAAATACTCACATTTCTGTTGTTTATTTAGCTCACATAACAGTAGAAAAATGCTGATGCGTTTTAGCACAGAGCCTCCCGAGTCTTACAGGTTGGTCCTTTCTGAGCATTTTCTATGGAGTTAGAATCATGCCAAAACCTCACACACACACAAAACGTGTTTTACTCACGCCCAACGATTCAAAACAAACCTCAGTGTGGTTTGCCAAATAACCAAAACATCATTCACAAACTAATGCATTTTGTTTTTACCAAATAAGAAACGTAACCTAGCAAACAAATACATCATGGCTTCAGAACAAATACAGTATGTTTTAACACATACAATGAAACATATTTCCTTTTTACAAAAAAACATCCTCCAAGTACAAAAAAACATCCCTCCCAATTAAACAAACTAAAATCTTTCAAGTACAAAAAACAATTCTACAAGTACAAAAAACTGGTCACGTGACTTTTGGCACTAACACGTGACTTTGGCACTAATTTTCGCACCATTGCTGATCCACACAGCCAAATGCATTCAGTTCCCACACCCATTTGGCAACGGACGCAGTGGTTAGCTGCCACTAAGAGGCGCTAGAGAGCACTGGTCTGTCTTGTGGTCCTTGTCCATCTGCCTGTTGTCCTTGACCTAGTTACTGAGTGGTTTTGGAAGTAGTTATTGTACATTTATACACCTTTCTCCCCCCTTTCTCAATTGTGTTGGCAACACTGTGCTGAATAAATGTAAAAAATAAATAAATAGAAATCATTATCTTTGTCCTGTCAAATATTATCTGATCATTACTATTATCAGAAATCCGCATAACAGAATAGAAC